GATAGGGGGAAAGATGAGGACAAACAAATGGAAGGTGTCAAAACTGGTTCGAGAACGCACTACGGTTAGGAAGAAGTTACGCTGTCAGTGACATTCACAAATTTGTACAGAATGTGGTGAATTTGATATTGTCACTGTCCAAGTCGAACAGGGCATGAGCTAAAGGTGAATTAATTATTGCAGATTCTGAAGTTCCATTAGATAGATGTATTATTGGTTGACGGATTGTGACAAGTGGACCATCTTCCATAATAATAGTATAAATGGAAACAGTATTGCAAAATCGCGATTAAATAGTTTGTTATTAAACAATAGCAATGTTAATTATTAGCTTACTCGCAGAGTTAATAAAGAACCAACAACTTTAACAACGTTATTATTCATCGAGCGTAATCATTGGCGTCAACAAAAAATAGCTACATTCACCTCCAAAAAATTTGAAATTTCACAGTACAGTATATTCCCGAGTCATTTGCTGTAAATTTCATTGAGCGAGGAATTACGCTGTCATAATTTTTTAAAGATGGAAATGAAAACCTAAATCCCAAAAAAAGAATTGAGCAAAGAAACTCGTGGCCAAATTATTGGTATGTCTAGGGCTGGTATTAAATTGATTACTTTTTATTAAAAAAAGTTATCCTAATTAGCAGGAGAGAGTAAGTAGTGTAATTAGTTGAGTTCTTGGGTATAATAAGAATTAACATTCTTCACTAATTCCTGAAAGAGATTGTGATTAAGTTTTTAGTTAATAAGCTTTCTGGTTCGGGTTTTTGCTTATTAGGTAGTTGAGTTCAGAAGTTCATATTTTCTTTTTTGCATCCTGGTTTAAACAAGACTTTATGACATACCAAAAGGTTTTTTTATGACATGTCAGAATGGTTTTACATTGCTTAATGACTCTCCTCATACATACCCATCAAAAGCAATAAAACGGTAAGGGTCTTGGGTTTTAATCCCGATAGCTTTAGCAATCCTCAATTTCCGTCTCGGTGAAACGAACTAGGTTCATTTATATCGTCAAATTCATTTTTATAAAAATACAGTTCATTCTCTAATAAAAGAGATGGGTTATATATATAAATAGTGAGAGTGAAACTAGTCTTTTTCTTGGAATAATATATTTTTTAGTTATTGTCACTTATTATATGGTATAACACTGATTGGTTGGGTTGAGGCAAAAGAAGTTCTTTAATTATTGGATAAAATGAAAAATTTATGAAAAAAATTCTATCATAACCCTACATACATTATTTATATACAAAAATATGGTAGCAGTTGGATTGGATAAAAATGTTTATCGGTGGGTAATTAGGGTTCGATTCTGGAGAGGGAGCCTGAGAAATGGCAATCACATCCAAGGAAGGCAGCAGGCGTGCAAATTACCCAATCCCGATACAGGGTAAAGGCATTTGCTAATACTAGTAGTGGTGCTAGAATTATTGATAATAAGATTTCTAGTCTTTCTTGGTCTGAAGATGGTGATCATCTTGCCGTGGGATTGAATGACGGAATACTCAAATATGGGATATTTTGAGTGGTCATACTACTTGTGTAGGTGTTATAACATGGAATAAACAAATTATTGCTTCAGGATCTAGGGATGAAGCATGATGTTAGACTTGCACGACATAAATTTGCAGAATTACATGACAATACTAGTGAAGTTTGTGGTTTGAAATGGAGGAGTGATGATGAACAATTGGCTAGTGGAGGTAATAATGACAACAAAGTTAATATTTGGGATGCAAAATCAAGCATTCCAAAATTTATTAAAACCGACCATAAAGATTCTGTCAAGGTAAATATATATATATTAATATGATAATATTAAATAATTTGATTTATAGATATGTGTGTGTATTCATCAATATATATATATAAGCACACTATAATATAAATAAAGGCTATTGCATGGTGCCTTTGGCAAAGAATTTTGCTTGCAACAGGTGAAGGAGCAGCAGATCAACAAATTTATTTCTTGAATACAGATGCATCAGTACAACTGAAATCGATTAATACTTAATCACAAGTTACATCAATTGTTTGGTCAAATCACTACAAGGAGGTATTATCAATTCATGAGTATCCAAGTTTTCGATTTATAATCTGGAAATATCCTTCACTAAAGAAAATTATTGATGTTAAGGATGCACATGAGAATCGTATTTTACAATCAGCTTTGAGTCCTGAAGGAGAAATTGTAGCAACTGTGGCAGGTGATGATTGTTTGAAGTTTTTGCATATATTTCAAAAACCAAGAATGGTGGCACTGGCAATGATGATTATGGTGATGATTATGATAAAAATAATTTGAATTTAATTAGATAATTAATTAATTTAAATATATAAAAATTTCAAGTATGAATATCCAGGATGGTTACTAAATCAAATCATTTCATTTTAAAGGAGTAAATATAGATTGTTGACTAATTTGTGTTAAAAAAAAATATTGAAAATTATAGAAATTAATTATTGCTGATAAAAAAGATTAATAATAATAAAAATTTTCTCTGCTTTTGAGTATGTTAATCTTTTGCCTTTGAGGATTCAAATCACATTTATTAATTATTATATGTCTTTATTTTTT